AACCACGGTCATCCAGCTTCTTCCTTAGTTCTTTTGCGAATATAGGATGAAGGCTCGTTCGCCAAAGATTCTGTACCGGTCCATTGACGGTTTGTACCCGTAGAAAGCCTCGAAAGGCGTCATCATCCCGCTTCTCTTGTTGGGTAGAGCGTTGAGGATGTCGCAAGCCCATATGAAGGTGAATCCCCAGAATGGCTTGCCCATCCGACTGTCAATAAGGATCGTGCGTCCCATGTCTGCCAGTGTGCGGTTGAAGCGTTCGATGATGCCGTTTTGGTAATGGTGATATGGTAGTGCTCGCTCGGCTTTGATGCCTTTGTTGAGTAGAAAATTGGAAAGAACGTCACTGCAAAACTCACCACCGTTGTCGGTTCTGACACACTTGACATTCCCGGACAGTTGCTTTTCCCATCTCAAGATAGTTTCGATAAGATAACCGCAAGCCTGAGACTTTTCCGCCATCACTTTGGCCTCGCTGAAACCTGTTGCTAGGTCCCTAATCGTTAGTAAGTATTTGCCCTTGTTGAAAGTTTCAACCTCAAAAGGACCAATGATATCAGCAGTAACAATTTCTAGTTTTGAAACAGGCCTGTCAGAAGGCGATAGCCGGTTTTTGTTGATACTCTTACTTTTGGCGCAAATGTCGCATTTCAGCTCCCCCTTCGGTAGTGAAATTGGAAGGCTGCCACACAGTTTTTCCTGGAAGACTTGCCGGATTTTGGTCAAACTTGCATGCCCAAAAAATCTGTGCCAATAAAGAAGTATCTGCTCGTTCTTGGAAAGACTGTTAGTAGACACTTTATTCCGTGATTTCTCAATGTTAAGAGGTGTTACGAAGATATTGCGGCGCATGTCTCCTCTTATCTCAGTCGATATAGGACAGAACGTAGGGGAACTCTTCTTTAGGACATGAATGTTGGATTGCATAGAGGCAGGAGATTGACAAGGAGACATAGGTATCGGAGAAACAACATGACGGCGAATAGGTTTTGGGAACACCCATTTGTTTTGTGATGGCACAAAAGGACATTTGAAACATAGTTTGTTGTTGCTGGAGTATATTAAGTAGCAATCCTGAATCTACGATGGGTACATCATCCGACAGATCTGCCTGAACATGGCCAAAGTTGATGTTGGCCAGGTCATCCGCGACATCACCAAGCTCAACCATTCGCGCCGTGGACTCGTTGGTGGAGTCATTGTCGGCCGACGCTTCATGTGCTGTGGGTTTTTGCCGTTGAGAGCCGATCGACTCCGATGGTGGTGTCACCCGCTGTAGGCGGTACTGCGGTGGTCGGTAGTAGTCCGCTGGTCGCGCTTGGTTGTTGTGTGTTGAGTTTGACGGCGGCGAGGTTTGTTGGCGATGAGAAGGGTTGAGGCTGGGGGATAGACTCCGTTGAAACCCCGGCGGTGTGACGATCGGATAAAAAGGACTGAAAACCCATTCGGGGCATAGCTGGTGGGGGCCCTGTGGATCCTGGGCTGGTTTGCTGAGCTTCTTGCTGGTCGACCAGGGACCGGGATATTCGTGCTCGCATGGGACAGTTGCGGAGCATGTGGTCCGGGGATCGGCATTGCCAGCACAGGCCGGCTTGCATCGCCATGAAATCGTGCGCGTCGGGTGTGTTGTCCGGGTGTAGGGCCGGACCTGGCAATTGAGGGACTGTAGGGGTAGTTTGGGTTGTGTTGACCTCCGCTTGCATGACGAGTGGCGTTTGCGTGTTGGTCGAGCCGCGGTTGACGTTTTGGAGACGGAGTTGTCTTCTGATGATGTCGATTAAGCGGACCATCTCATCGAAGTTCATGGGGGGATCTTCAACTGTCGCTGACTGGAGGTCGTGTTCAATTCTTCGGTCAAATTCTTGCTGAAGTTCTGGCTCCGATGCTAGGCCGTTTTGCAAGACCAAGCCGGCCAGATGATCCCGGGTGAATGGCATCCGGATCGTCTCCATCTCATCGAGGATGTCGCCGATGTGGGTAGACATGCCGGCAGTGGTTGGGTGATCGCTGATGCTGAACGTTATCAGTCGGCGGAAAAGGTCCAATTGGGCCGCACGGCTGACAGAGTGGAATCTGATCCGGATATCTTGCCACATTCGGTGGACTGTGGCATGACGAGCAAGGCCTCGACGTAAGGAACGATCAACCGATGTGAGGAGAATGGAGCGACCAATTCGTTCATGTGTGACATTGTTGTTGGGAAAATGGAAGAAAAGTGGAACGTTGATGGCATCCCGGATTCGCTCGTCTAGGAAGTCTTGCCAGATTGCGAAGTTCGATCCGTCGGGTTTGAGGCGGTCTTCGTCATGGATTTGATTGGAGACAGCTCCGATGACGGCGGCGATTTGACGATTGCGTTCTGGGTCTTCTGGGCGTGGTTCCGGTGGTGCTTGGTGAGGAGGGGCTTCCCGATTGCGACGTTGACGTGCCCGTTCCCGTTCTGCAGGATCGCGGTTGTGATGTCGCTGTTGGCCGTCTGCTGCAGCGGGGGCTTGTGGGGGGTCTGCCACGTCGTGCGCATCCGGGGCTTCAGGTGGGGCATTCTGTCCGCCAGGTGGTTGGCGGTCGTTGTTCATGTCGATGGTGTGGTGGAAGGGAGCAGGAAGGGTGAAGGAAGGGAAAAGATGAAGGAAAGGGAAAAGGGTAGAAGGAAGAAAGAAGAAGATATAACGAAGAAGAAAGTGGGAAAGGGTGGGGAGAATGATGAAGAATAAGGGAAATGGGTACGGTGGAGCGGGAGATGAGAGAAAGAAAATAGAGAGTTGTGGCGATGGGGATGATAAGGTCGGGAGATTTGGAAGGTAGGTGATTGTTTGGTAGATTGGGAGAACAGAATCGGGAAAGATGGAAGGAGAAAAAATAAATGAATTTGGTAGATGAGGTACGATCCTCCTTTACGCCTGTTCAGCCCCAAAAACCCAGCGTCCCAGGTATGGATGTACTTTGGAGTGCGACTCACAAAGTAGCTTAATCAGCAGTATAAGGTTGAGGGTAACTATCAATTATAGATGGTGGATTTTCGAGATATTCGGGTAGGTCGGGGAAGTTGAGCAAAGTGAGAACAAGAAACAGACTTTATGGGATGCTGACGGAAAAAATTATGTTTAGATTTCGGGTCAATTACGCCCTACGCTGGGCTACCCGTTAGAAGATGCGATATATCAAGGGCGATTACTCCCTACACTAGGATACCTTGTTGATGTTTTCGAGATGCTTTAAAGGCGCTCATAACCTGATGTGAAACAGAGAGAGAAGACACAAGGTTGTGGATTCATTGCATGTAGATAGACTAGACAGGCTTATATACATGCACAAAGAGGGGCTAAGGTGAGAACCCCTGTAACCCCTTTCCTGGGTTACAACACATTCCTCAACCACTGGCCGTTGAGGGTGGTAAGGAAGATCCTTTTCAAGCTCAACTTCTTCCCTTGTGACCTTCACCGATGTGATCATCTAATCCGCAGTCTCAACTTTCAAACCAGGCCGAGCAGCTGTGTACAACCACCTGCCGAGAGGCGTCGAGGCTGATGCCTGACAACCAGCACATGTGTCCTTCCTTTCCACAATGATCTGATTCTGATCTCTGACTCGGTTCGAACGGGACTTCAACTACTAGATCCTCCGCCGTATCCCTCAAACTACAAAACACTGGCTACATAACATCGGCACTCCGCAGGACTCAGCCAAGAAACATACCAGACTGTGCAAATCCAACATCTGCTTCCAGGGATCTCAAGTCCAGGTTCTTTTTTTGCTACAACATATTATTTAAGGCCCCACTTATAAACAGTATTTTGAAATTATTTTGAAAAAGTCCTTTTGAAAGAATTTTGAAGTTCAAAGTTGGATACATATAGATTTGAACTTTTTTTCTTTTTCAAAAGCGCTTCAAAAGTCCTGGATTCTCTAGTGCTTGTGGACTCAATACAAGCAATGCAAATTTTTTCATTATGTACCACAATTGTACAACTGGGTTTATAACTACTCCCAGCTTTTGAAAATATTTTGAACAGTATTTGAACTACAAAAAGCTTTATTTTAAGTTCAAAAGAAACCATTTCAAAAGTGTTTCAAAACATTTTCAAAACATTGTTTATAAGTGGGGCCTTACATGATCACACATCAATGATTTTTCTTTTTTTATGAACCCAATCTTGTAGCTCTAATCAAGGTCATCATCCAGGCCCCCAGAGCTTTTAATTCAACACAACAATCTCTGATTATGTAGCTCACACAAGAAGAGGCTTCTTGCTGAGATATGTATGTACTCCAGTCAAAAACTGACCTAATATGATTATGTACTGCCATCCAACATGACCAATAGTCCAATCATATTGAAAATGGGGCTATGTATTAATGGGATGGTGTTGTCACTGTGTCTGCAGAACACACTTACTTATGATGAGAATCCAGCACATGATTTGACAGAGGAGGAGATGGCCGAGGACATCTTCTCCATTGTTTGTTTTTTGTTGATTGGGTGAGTAATGATTTAAGGCACATCAAAGGTCCCTGAGCAAACACACAAGCTAGTGCTTTCACATTCCTCTTATTTTATTTATTTATTTATTCAAATCTCTTCTGGGTCCAAACAGCCAGAGAATAGAACTGGGTGAGTCCAGAGTGATGACACCCAGAGGCCTCACTAGAAACCCCTCGGGGGCTCGGATAGTCGTCGCTCGTACTCGGGGTCGCCCGCCGTCTGCACCCCGTTCTGAGCCCCGGGCTACAACCCCACTTTGGATTGCTGGGCTTCAAGGGCACTTGAATCTTGATACTCATCACATTTGCTTCGATTCGATCATGGTAAGTTATTTCTGCAGGACTATCCAGAGACTGAACATGCTCTCATCCGGTTGTATGTATCATAAATTTGCCTCCTTCCAGACAGTCCCCCTCGCATACAGATCGAAGCGCTCATTCGACATCTCTCATGAATCCATTAGCACCTCGGCTTGCTTTGTTTGAGAATGCTTGTCGAGTGATTCGTCGGACTCGCCAGGACACGATGCACTCCTCCTCAATGGCTTCGAGGCCGCCCATCCGGCTGAAAGCCCGGCCGGTCGAACCTCAGTTCGTTGGAACCTCGGCCATGAAGTTTTCCTGTGAAGCCTCGAAACAAAAGACGAAAGCTGCCTCTGACCATCAAATCAAATCGGAGTGGATCCAACTGGTGAATCCGAGCAGCACTCTCAAGCAAGGATCGGCTGCTCCGGATAGCGATCCTCCAAGCCAAGGCGCAAACTTACTAGTCGAACCGGCTCTGACCCGAGAAGTGCTTTCGAGACTCGATTTGAACCAATACACTTTGATCGAGGTGAACTCGAAGACCAACCCGCCGATCTGTAAGATCGTCTCCCGCGAAGCTCTCGTCCAGAAAGAACGAACGAAACTGAAACAAAAGAAGGAGCAACAACGATCGAACCGGCTCGAGAACGTGCTCAAGGAGATCCAACTCACCTGGAAGATCGAGCGGAACGACTTGAATCACAAGCTCAAAGCGGCCCAACAATCCTTCGAAAAAGCCTACAAAGTCAGAATCATCCTGAACCCTCCCAGTCGATATCAGCAGATTGACCAGAATCATAAGGATGAGCTCTTGGCTATCGTCGAGGAGCAGCTCACCGGCTTTGGCGGTGAACTCGTCAAACAAGAATCCGAAGCAGGCAAGTTGATCATGGAGTGGCATCCCGTTAACAAGCAACGATGATTTTCGTACCTCATACCCTTATAGCCGTTGTCAAATTGCAGCTAAACACTCCATCGTTTTTGTTTTTCACATCTCCCGAAATTCGGTGTTTTTTTTTCACTGCCTCTCGTCCTTGTATAGAAGATACCTGAGATTCATCATCACGTGGCTTGTCCGCTTTGTTCCATGTCAAGATTGTATGTTAATACTCTCTAGTTCGTGAATCTAAAATCCCGTTCACTCCACACCAGAACGTCATGTATTTTTTTTTTTTGGTTGAGAATTGCCACTCCATTGCAACAATAAAAACTTGAACATATAAAATAAGTAAGCTGACCAGACTATCGGTAGCATCAACAAGCTTGTACTCCAAGAACTTTAAATCTATATTTGAATCCGAAATGGCACCGCACAACTGTAGCTCAAAGCAAAGCAAAGAAAGAAGAATGCGAATCCATACATGAAATCACAAAAAAAAGAACAAAACAGACAACAGAAGATAAAGATCTACTAAGCAGCGGTCCTAGATCTTGCCGATCCGTGAGTCTCGGACGGCGGCCGGTTACAGATTGAAATGTCGGGAAGAGGTGGTCGGGCGGTCGAGGTGGATTTGGGGAAGGTTTCTGGCGAGGAGGAAGGACGCGAGGAATGAATGTGAAGCAAGCAGGCCGATCGTTTTTTTTGGCGGCGGATGAAGAGCAAGCAATTTGAAACGAGACATTAATCTATGTGGACCGAGAGCAAGTGGAGAGATTTTTCCATTTTAAAGAGTGTGCGGGCACACATGACGAGATGAGGTTTGACTTCTTAGAAGCCCAGAGCTTTCAGCTCATCATGGCCCTGGCCAATCGATGATCTACGTGCAAACAGATATGGATTGCCACATCAAGGAGATCATCATCAAAACTCTGCTCATTGTGGGTTTTTAACTTTGGTAGGTTATTTATTGTGGATGACGTGACGAAAACTTCAGAATGAACGGGAAAACAGATTATGTATGTATAGAGGGGTCTGGATATGTATACGAAGGACAGGCATAACACATTTATGGATCGGCGGAATGGATGTGAGGCATGACAAAAAAAAACAAGAAGAACCCAAGACGAGATGTATTTAAGAAAATATTATTTTTTATCTGTGTTTTTTTTTTCGTGTTCATGGTAGACACGGGTTATGAGAAGTATTTATGGTGGATGGAAATTGTATGTATTCGAAGTACTCATTGCGACAACTATCCAGCTAATCCATGAGTTTATATATAAGCCTGACTTATGGGAAAAGAAAAGAAAAGAAAAGAAAAACAGGAATAGCACTGTGAGGATTTATTTGTGGGGTGCATATATGTGTTTGTGTGTGTGGGGAAAAAAAGGAAACCAGCGATGATATGCACTTTAAGGGGGGGTTTTTTGGGGGGGTGCATGTGTCATCGCAAGGAACGGAATAGATAGGGGAGATAACGCTCCAATAAACAGAACCAAGAAATTATTATACAGAAAAGAAACTAGCGACAAATTATTTTTTTTGGTGTTTGTGTGTGTGTATGGGGGATGCGACTGAATGATAAGGGACGATGAAGAAGAATGGATTAGAAATGGCATGTATATGTATTTAAGAAGGTTCCAATAAAATTGCGCTTCCGGGGGGGAGCCGACACGAATAGTATTGAGTTTTAATAGTTGGGAGCGAGTAGGTCCCGGCCCAAGTTGGGCAAGGGACGGAAAGAAGTTGACGGGATCAAGTTCTTTGATGGACGATGTCCCAAGGGGAAGAGCCCACTAACAATCCTCCGAGCGAATCTTCACCAGACACCTCAGTGTTGGTCAACGTAAGTCCAAGACTTTTGCTCAGGAGGCTGTGGGGTGACCCAAAAACCCCACCAGCAGGAGAAGGCCCCATGCTGTTGTTGAAGGGGAAGCGGGAGAGCCCAGAGGGAGTCTGGAGCGCTTGGTGACCCCAATCACCCGCGTTGAGCGGGCACGATGAGCTCAACGGCTGGACAGGGTAGTTCTCCGAAGACCGTCTCTTGCCAGCGCTCATCGGAGCGTAATGGCCGTGGTAGAGCGACATGGCGCTCATATCGGCTTGGGAAACTGCCGGCGAGCTCAACAGATCGACTTGATCGAGCCCTGCAGCATCCATCCGACCCATGGGCGAATGCGAAAAGTGCAGCCTCCCATCGGATCGGAGCGCAGACTCCCGGAGTGGGGTCTGGAGATCATGCGGCACAGAAAAGTGTGGCTCTGTGGCAGCCCTTTCAGGAGGTGCGACGCTGGAGTACTCCTGGTCGTGTGCCAACGTCGTAAAATTCCCGGCAGTCGCAGGTCTGTTGTATTGTCCACCGAGCTCGCCCATGAACTGCTTGTGGGGATTGATGGTGGAAGCGAGGTTGCCATAGGAATAGTTCACCTCATGTTGCGAGCTGGCATGGTGCTCGACAATGCTGCCGGACTCGCTGGTGGCTTCCTCATCACGCGCAGATGCCACCGAAGAACGTTTCGACCCCACTTGAGCGACCTCGTTGGACGAGATGGCAGGTTCTTGGGAGCTGACTGGCTGGAAATTGCCAGCTTCACTCAAGGCTTCCACATTACATGCACCGTAAGATTTGCGCAACTCGTCGAACTGCTGTATGGGAAGAGGGATGGGAGATGGCAGAGACAATCTCGGGCGCTTGGCGTGCGACTCGTAGCTGAGGGGCTCCATGGGTTCGCTGGGCGAAGTAAGTGCAGTGCCGAAATTGAAACGCCCACCCTAACTCCCAGCTGTGGTACTGGAAGTTCAACGGCGCGCTTGCATAGCAATCCGGGAGTTCGGGATGGGCCCAGATCTTGGCGAATGACGTCGCCTCCGTAGCTCGTTGGAGGGCTTTGGCGCAGGCTGTGGTTTTGGGAAGATTGGGGCGAATAGCTCGGATGATTGCCCCTCATTGGCGAAACGATCTGATATCTGGAACGGGGAATGCGCTTCGGGTGCAGCGGAGTAGTTTCCGAAAGAGTAAGAGCTGGCTTTGGAACCGGCTGGTTGGAATGTCCATTCCGCAGGGGCAGTGCCCTGGTTGATAGGAAAGGATGGGTTGTAGGGGGCACTGCTGATAGGATGCGGCGTCTGAGAGGGCAGTGGTGGACGATGCGAGAACGATTGAGAGACACTGGAGCCACGCGACATAGTGGACACCGACGATCTGGAAGGGTGAACTATCGAACGATAACAAGAATGTTGAACGTGACTATTCAAAACAGGTAGCGGGATAGTTCGCTTACCCTGCAACGACGACTGATTGGGAGCATGCGACTCGACACCGGTAAAGTAATCGGGTGAACCCGCTGTGTAGCCATGTGATGATGGGTACAAGGCAGGAGAAGGCACCTGGCTCCCACCAGGGGCACCTCGCATTAGATTATATGGGAGAGACTGGGAATTCATCATCGCTGAGGCTTGTTCCATCGAGTTCTTCTGCCCCTCTCGGGCAGCCTTCTTAGCCGCGCGGTTCTTCCGGGCCCAACGGCGCTTGCTCTCCAGGGTCCTTTCACGACGCTCCTCCTCGGTCTTGGGTCTGTTGACATCTGTGGAAAAAATGTCAGTGGTTGCGCCTCAATTTGATGGTCGCCTATGAGGAGAACCCACCATTATCCCAGCGGGTGCGGCGCGGCTGGGTGGACAAGGGGATCTTGTGTTTGTCGGAGAGATGCCGTCTCCAGATGCTTCGCGCATGCTTGCCTTGATAGGTCTTCTCACAGTATTCGCAGTCGTAGATGGTCACCTCGCTTTCAGGCTGATCCATCAATGCCAATGTGTGGGCAGAGAGCTGCGAAAAGGGATCAACTTCGTGCCCATCCATTTCCCCCTGAACGAAGGCAGGTGATGGCATGAAGTCGCTTGTGTGACAAAGAGCATTGTCAACATTTGTGAAGTGCATTGGATCGTTTGACTGATGCTGGTTTGAATTCCATTGGGTCGAGATAGGAATCCCGCCCAGCTGCACCTGTTGGAATGTCGACCTGGGGATCAAAGGATGGTGGCCAGGTTGAGATTGCAGGCCTTCTGTGGATAGGCTAGCATGGGTGGGCGGTTGTAATAGGACGGCGGTCGTGTCTGCATTTGAGGAATAACGAGACAAAGAACCCAAATCAGATTGAGTTGGCGAATGTGCCAGACCAGGTGCGATATCGACCGAGTGGGTGGAGGAAGAAGGAGCGTGTGGATTGTTGTGTGAATTGGGCCAAAATTGTTGTTCGTCACATCGGATCGTTTGTGCAACCCGGATTGATGGCGGTGTGATATCCAGTCGAGGAGGTGTTCGAGGCAGTCCAGGGCAAGGCGAAGATGCGGAATCAGATGAAAGCAAAGAGGAGCGGTTGTCATCAGTCACCACAGAACAAGATGAATCGTTGGGTGTATCATCATCCAGGGCAAGAAGTGAGTCATTTTGTGGGGACTTGGCTTCGCGCGGCGACAGGTCAATTGAAGCCATGATCATTCAGCGAATGAGCCGGTGGTACGATTGGACCGGTTGTTGGAAGAGAACAGAAGAATCAAGGATATTATAAAAGAGCCTGATCCGAGGCACGGTGGGTGTTATATAACTTGGGCAATAAATACCCCGACTCTGAAAGAAAGACGATGGAAGGATTGGATGCAGATGGGCTTGGATGTGTCCAGGGCTGCCACCCCTTTGACTTTCGGGTGCAAGAAAAT